GGCGGTGGTGGGGAAGAGACAGAAATCTTTAATAAGTAAATAAATAAATTTAAAAAAAAGAGTTATCCAATAAGAGATTAAAGCTAATGGGCCAAGCAGTGTTTTAATTAATATAGTTTCTGTGTGATTACTTCAAAGCTTGATAGCCAGGAACAAAAAAGCAGCCCTCTTCCTTTGATGCAGAAACCTTTCATGAAGAAGACACTTCAGGGCATGGACATGGGCAATAAGATTCTCAACAGCTCTTCAGTAGATCAGACAATAATAGCAACAAATGGCAAATATAACTGCATCAGATTAAATAGATTCCTCACAAATAATGACACAGTATACCAAGTAAAATACAGGCAACGAAATGGAAAGATATAAGAAAAACCCATTCCCAACTATTAATCCAGGGATTCACATCCAGAATATAAGATGATTTAAAAAATTAAAAACAAAAATGAAAGTAACCTAATCCATAAATGGGAAAATAGTCTGAAAATGTAAAAAGAATAATACAAATTTCTAGTAAATTCATGAAAAACATAAACAGTCATCAGGGAAATGCAAATCAAAACTATTTATTAAATTCCATCTCTCCCAGTCAGGAAGGCTGGTATCAAGGAAACAAATAATAGGATATAGCAGGAAAAAAAACTCTTTTCATATTTGAGGAGAATGTAAATTGACATAATACTTAAGGAAACCAGTTTGAAGTTTCATCAAAAAGCTAAAAGTAAAACTGCCATTCCTCTGTGTGCACATAAAGACACCCATGGCGAAAAGTCTGCCACCATGGCCATCAAGTGACTATTACTTTAGTGAGTTTCTAAGTTCAGTCCAAGAGCACATCAACAAATTTTATGAATAGGTAAACTGTGCAGTATATAAATGAGTAAAATCACTCTGTATTAAAGACTGAAATAATTATTTTGCACACAAACTGTGGGAATTGAGTTACCATGTTAAGTTAAATAAGCAAGATTCAGAATGGCTAGTACTGTTGTGAAAATTAGAGGAAAAAACGACATGAGCATAACAGGGGAGAAAGGCAGACATGAGTGAGGCAGAAGAGAGTATACAGAGGGCACTATGCTGACAATAGAGTGATTAGCGTTTGTCTTGCACAGGAAGAAAGTTGTCACAGTCTTATATATTCTTTTGTAAAAATTAATATATACTAATAAAAATTTATCTTTTCTGAATTTTGAAGAAGTACATGTTAGGTTTTTAATTAGTTTACAAATAGTAGCAGAAAAAAAATAATTATCTAAGGATAATCTAGCCAACAACAGGCCAGACGTTTGTCACCTTGACCAATTTAAAAGAAGTTACTTTTCTATGATGTGATTAGAGGGTATGGAGGGCTCTGTAACATGAAATTTTTCTCTTTCTTTTGCTTAAAATAATGTCAGACCATTGTATTATGGCTTCTTTTATGTAAATTCTATTGCTATGCAGGAAGTGTGACTAAATATACAAATGAATGAACATTTTAAAAAGGAATTGATTAATCAATTATCTACATATTTAAACACCTGTTAGGGTGAGCTGACTGCTTGTTGATCCGTGCTGCCTGGCTAGCTTAGACCTGAAATAATCAGACAGAAACGTATTAATTAAACCACTGCCTGCACCATTAGCTTTAACTTCTTATTTGCTAACTTTTACATCTTGGTTAAACCCATCTCCATTAATATATGTATCACCATGTGGCAGTGGCTTACCAGTACAGTTTTAGCAGGTCTGACTGTGGCAGCTCCATGGCATCTCTCTGACTCTGCCTCCCATCTCCCAGCATGCCATTAAGTTTTCCCCCACCTACCTAAGTTCTTCCCTATCAACAGGCCAAGCCAGTTCCTTTATTAATTAACCAATAAAAGCAAGACATAGACAAAAGGACCTCACACACCAAACACACTAAAAAATGTTCTTATCTATTATCCACAGTGACATATAAGATTTTTAACACATCTTTAACTTTAATTTACTCAAATGTCAACAAGCTGCCATTTTCTAGAAAAAAAACCCACATATAGATTGTGTCAAATTCATTCAGGGGAGATTACAGGTCAATAAGAAAAAGAAAGAATAGATTATTATAGTGAGGCATTCCTCAATCATAAGCAGAGTTGAGATGCCAATTATAATTTTTATTTGCAAAGGGACAAAGAACCCAAAGGTGGCACCATCAAATGAAAAGAAAAGTTGATAGGCAGATACCATCTCCCCTTGATGAAGAATGAGAGGGTGTCATTAAAAAAAAGTGTGGAACTTTATTTCTCAACTGTTAACAACATGAAGATCTTCATTTTGTGATACTCTCTCCATGGTAACATAATTTATTCCCTATATAAATATATATCAGCCTTAAGAGGATTTGATTTAAATAAATTTATAAATTTCAACTTACCTTAAATCCATCATTAACCACAAAGAAAACCAATAGAGAAAGAGAAAAAAAGAAGGATAAGAAAATGAGAAAGAAAGACAGGAAAAGCAATAAGGCAGAAGAAAAAAAGACAAAAATGACCTAAGTCTGACCTAAGAGCACTGACTGAATCTGCTGTATATCAACAGATCCCAGCTTGCTCAGGTTTGTTTCATTTGAATGGTTAGACATGAACACACACACACACACTTTGATATCTTCTCACTCTCATGTATTGCCACTTCCACATCATCTGTCCTCTAGTCTACTCTGATACGGAATAGACTGTGCCAGATATCTTTATCCCAAGTGCCTTTGAGACACACAGATGGAGAAGCTGGCAAAGAAACAGACATCTCAGCCAATGTGAAGTGAGGATTTTGTGTGTAAAGGACAGACACTGAAGCAGTCCATCACTGTGACTGTAACAACATCATCACGAAGGTACTTTATCAGTTAAGGACTGTGGCAGAACACTCCTTACACGGCATGAAGATGTGTCACTGTGGTTGGTTTATAAAGATCTGAAAGGCAAGTAGCTAGGCAGGAACAGGTAGGGCAGTACTTCTGGGAACAGATATGTCTAGGGAAGAAGAAATGGAATGTCGCCAGCTTGACACAGAAGAAGCAGGATATGCAGGAAAAGAGAAAAAAAAAACATGAGTCATGTGACAGCACTAAGATTAATAGAAATGGGTGAATTTAACTTATAAGAGATGGTTATAAACAAGCCTAATCTAAGATATAGATTACATAATTAGTAATAAGTCTCCTTGTTGTGTTGTTTTTGTGAGCAGGAAGCCCAAAGAAAAGGCTACCTACAAAAGACAGGAAAAAAATGTAAACAGACACTGTCACTATCCCAAGACATCAGGGGTACCACATGAGCAGATGGTGACAAAGGACACAGTGAGACTGGTTGTACTATACCCTTCCCTTTATTGAATGTGTTCCTATGAGTTATTCTGGAAGAAGAGTCATATTAAACTTTCCAATGATGCATAGCATTGAGAAGCACTTCCTTATGAAACAGGTACTGAATATGGAAATGGGGTAAACAACATCAAAGAAAATCCTGCTGATTGGTTCAAACCTTGAAGACCTGACATATAAAAGGTCCAGAATGCAAGAACTCTCCATATTGTAGAAAACTCACCTCTTAACAGAAACCCTCCAGCTACATCTGACACCATGTCCAAATCCTGCTGTTCCTCTTGCTGCCAGCCTTCCTGCTGCAGGACCACCTGCTGTAAACCAACTTGTGTGACCAGCTGCTGTTGCACACCCAGCTGCTGTAAAACCACCTCCTGCGAGACAACCTGCTGTAAGCCAACCTGTGTAACCAGTTGTTGCTGCACACCCACCTGCTGCAAGACAACCTGCTGTGAGCCAACCCGTGTAACCAGTTGTTGCTGCACACCCACCTGCTGCAAAACCACCTGTTGCAAGACCATCTGCTGTAAGCCAGCATGTGTGACCAGCTGCTGCCAGCCCTGCTGCCAGCCCAGCTGCTGTAAAACCACCTGCTGCAAGACCACCTGCTGTAAGCCAACCTGTGGTACATTCTGTTGCAAGCCAAGCTGTTGTAAAACAACATGCTGCAAGACCACCTGTTGTAAGCCAACCTGTGTGATCAGCTGCTGCTGTCCACCCTGCTGCCAGCCCAGATGCTGTGAAACCACCTGCTGCAAGACCATCTGCTGTAAACCAACCTGTGTGAACACCTGTTGCTGCACACCCTGCTGCCAACCCAGCTGTTGTGAAATCTGCTGCTGTCAGCCCTGCTGCTGTGAAATCACCTGCTGCTAGACCACCTGATGTAAACCAATGCATGAGACCACCTGGGCCCTCAAGTCCTGCTGCTGTGAGTCCAGCTGCTGCCCGGCCTACTGCTTATCAACTTTCCAACTGAACAATGCCCAAACAACTGTCCTTGTGTCACACCAGTCTCTCCATGTGGGCAGAAGCTCCCATCATCCTCTGAGGCTATAACCACTTCAGAAACCTATCAAACACCTTGATGGAATGCAAGTCCACTCACGCTCACTCTCCTTTTCTCTCTGTCTGCAGAGAAAGACACTTTAAATAAAATTATCAAAAATGTATGAAAACAATAAATTATGGACTGTTATTCTTTTCATATTGTCTGTCATCACTGCACTTTGATAAATCATTTGATAGTAGATTCATATGCTCCAAGACTTTTTATTGTGCAAAATAATGAAGTTCCTCTCTCTTTCTCTTTCTATTGAGCACCCACTGTTATTAAAATCCCTTTCCAGCAGGAGACATAAACAGCATCTATTTCTTCTAAGGTCCCACTCACAAACCAAAGAAAAATTCCACCAAAGTTGACTCTGAGGAGCCAATGAGTTTATTGGGCTCCCTTACAAAGCATAGATGAGGAGCTTGTTACAGGTGCATGGATTTGTCTCCCTGGAAAGGCTACGATGGAATGTCTTTAGCTAGTAGGGATGAGAGCTTTTCCATAGCTGCATAGCTAAAGATCTATCTCTACTCTTCTCTGGACCCTCCCCCAAGACCACCCACAGAGCAGAGTTGCTTACAAATGGTGGTAGGGAATTGATGGATACTCAGGTATGTACTCCTAACCCTCCCACTTTTTTATGAGGGATGTAAACAGTAACCAGCCCAGCTGGGATGATTTCTTACAAAGGGCCACAGCTGAATGCTCCAAGATGGTGGTTGTTTGGCTCAGAGGACATTACTGTACCATAATGTGCTCATATGCATGCTGGTGCATGTGTGTGTGTGCACATACAAACACACACACACACACACGGAACACAAAGTTCTTATAAATGAACTTCACCAAGTATGTGAAAGACCAGAGTGATATATATTTAAGATACTGAAAAACAGCATTAAAGACTATATCAAATGATGTAGAAACCTTCTGTGTTTCTTGTTGGCAAGTAAATATTTTGGGAATGATCATATTGTTTAAAATTATGTATAGCCTGAGCCCTATTTCTGTAAAATTCCAGTAATATTCTTCCCCAAACCCCCCAAAAGTACAAAACCTTATGTGAAATACAAAAGACCACACATATGCAATGCAATCCTATGTAGAAAAAAAATACTAATACAGGTATCAAAATACATGGCCTCAAAGTATACTACAAAGCAAAAGTGATATAAATCATTTGTATAGGAACAAATATTGATGGGTAGACCAATGTAGTAGGATACAAGATTGAGAAACCAATGCACAGATATACAGCCTCCGAACACCATCTTCCCAGGTGCATTTGACGCACCTGGGACACAGGGGTAAAGCTGGTACCAACACAGATGCCTATTTTTGTAGATGAACAGACATGGAGCAAGGCATTCGGCTAACTAATGTGAGCATAGCGCATCATCTCATCGCTCTCGGCAGGTGCTTCCTAACCAAAGTCCAAGCAAAGGAAGAAAAGCTACAGAAACAAAACTCTCCTAACCCTCTGCTCCCAGAGGAGCAAGCACATTACAGCATATGAAAGCCAGAGCTGTGGTGAAAGCCATGGGGTTGCTCCTTCCTCTCATCTGAAGAAGTTCCTGTGAGTGATTCCCAAATAGAAAACAAATTAAGCACTTTTAAAAAAAATCCTATTAAGGAACAGCTTCTTCCTTGATAAACAAACTTTGAAAATGGAAAACAATATAAAGAACAAGGAAAACCGTGATTGGTCCAAACCGAGGTGAGCCGATGCATAAAAAGACCCAACTGAAAGGAAGGCCTGGTATTCTAGAAAACTCTCCTGTAAACAGAACACCACGCTCCGTGCCTGAATCCAGATGACCAAGTTTCTGCAGCTCGACCTGCCGTCAGCCTAGCTGCTGCAGGACCACCTGCTGCTGAACCACCTGCTGGAGACCAAGCTGTGTTGGCAACTGCTGCCAGTCCAGCTGCTGTGGCCAAATTAAGACTGTCTGCAGCTTCTCTCAGCCCCGCTGCCAACTAGCTTGCTGTGAAACTGCATGTTACAAGACCAGCTGCTGCCAGTTGTGCTGCCTCCCCAGAGGCTGCATCAACATCCTGCTGCCTGCCTGCTGTCCATCAACTTGCTATGAAACCCCTGGCTGTGAGACCACCTGTTTTAAACCAGCTTATGTGACCAGCGGCTGCAGTGAGTCCTGCTGCCAGCTACTGTGTGCCCAGCTGCGGCCAGCCCTGCTGCCACTGACCAATTCCCCAAGAGACAGATATCTGCACGACTTATGTAAAATCACTTCTTAATTGTGCTAAAAAGCCATTAGGCTAACCCTAAAATTCTGTTAATTATCGAATTCTTGTTTAAACATTCATTTCCACAAGTGAGTGCAGCCGTCTCAACTGTCACTCTCTTCCTGGCGTTTCAGATCTCATGCCGTCTCCTGTGGAAGTCTCACTTCAGCTTAAATCCTATGCCACCGTTGTCATCTCTTCCTCTAAGGAACTTAGGAGAGTGGGTTCCTTAAAACTGACATACCTTCACACATCTTTATAATCATGCTTCACTCTACAGCACACGCCACATCCTTGTGCTGCTACTTTCTTCTTCCTGGTCCCTTGGAGCCATCTTCTAAACTGTATGTAGCCTTCACAAATTCTTAAATTAACCACCATGTTTCATTTCATGTTCTCTGCCTTTATTATTCTGTGGTAAAGTCATTTGCTATGAGATCTACATGCACAATCAGATTTTAAATGTGCAATACGTTGTCACTGTATCACACACAGAGGTCATAATGCTGCAAAGCAGGTCTCTTAGAGCTACTCATCCTGCATCCCTGAAATGGAAGACTCGCTGCGTATCAACTCACTGCTACAAACCCCTTCTGTGAAGCCAGTATCACTCTAATACCCAAAGCTGGTAAAGACATAACAGAAAAAGAAAACTACAGGCCAATATCCCTCATGAACATAGACCCCAAAATCCTCAATAAAATACTTGCAAGCAGAGTACAGACATACATCATAAGAGATTCTCCACCATGACCAAGTTGGCTTTATCTGTGAGACTCAGGAAGGATTCAACATACACACAAGTCACAAAACACAATAAACCACATAAATGGACTTAGAAAAGCAAACCACAGAATTATCTCAAGAGACATCGAAAAAGCCTTTGGTAAAATCCAGCATGGCTTCATGATAAAAGCCTTAGAGAAAGCAGGAGTATATAGAACACAGCTCAACACAGCACAGCCATTATGGGAACTGGTATAAAGTAAGAATTTCCATGTGACCCACCTGTACCCTCCTAAGCATATGCCCAAACGACTCTGTACTCTACCACAAACTTATCTTTGTTTTTCATTTTCAAATTGCTTGAGAAAGCATCCAATCAGCTACTATACCCTTTCCATCCCCACCACTGTGTGAGGATTCTCCTTTCTCCACATACTTGCCAGCATCTTTGTCTTTAGTTTCTTCTGATAATAGTATTCCAATGTTACAATTACTGAATAATATTCCAATGACATACTGCCAGTCTGTAGCAAACTAGGCAACGGAGGAAAGATGTCTTTCCCCTGGCTTGTGCTCAGCTCTCCAGACACTGCCATTTCACAAGTTAGCGGTGCTTCTAAAAATGTCAAGTTCCTCCTGTCCAAATGAATATAAATTCTCCTGATTTTTTTTTTGTTCCAGGACACCTCAGTGTGCAGTCCTTATGCTGATTCTTCTACTTTTTACCAAGCCAGCACCCCTCAAACCCTGAGAAAGCATCCTTTTTGTTAACTAGAACTCTGTTTCAGATACCTTACCTTCTTATGCAGCCATGACAACATCCAGGATCTTGGCTGTTCTGGGACGAACAAGATGTAGAAATGCATCAGGTAAAACATGTTTCACGCCAAGAGGACTCTGGGCTGACCTACTGTTCACCCCCAGACACATTACCATCTCATTGTCATACGCCACCCTAGTAAAATCCCTGCCCAACCATAGAATCTTGTTCCATCCTGTTTCCAACTCAGATGCAAATCAACTCTTGAAGATTAAAGGACAGGACTCTTCCATCTCCAAGATGGACTCCACCCCCTTCACAAAAACTCGGTGAATAATGCTCCTACTCATAGTCAGCATCGTCCCCTTTGGCCCTTTAGCTTCAAATCCACTGTTCAGGTGAGAAACTGATCTGCCAATCATTTCTCCTCAATCCTTGGCTCAATAGACTCTAGATTCTATTCTGGGTTCCATGATACCTCCAGGGGAAAGCACCCAGTTTGGGTTCAAAAGTTGACAACATTTTCATTTGGTACTTTGTTTTTACAACATTTTAGAGCAAGTCAGGACATTGCTTGGCATGCAAGTCTAATTATATTTTTGAGTAACTCAGAGTTCCTCCACAAGTTTTAGAAACTAAATATATATTTCAGAATAATAAATTTTGGATAAATATAAGTAACAAAATAATAATTTTTTCTTCCAAAAATGCCAGGGGCTCTCATGTTTTCTGTATTTTCTATCAGTTAACATTCTGACATACCTAGTATATTATTTGCTTATTTAATAGCCACACTCTCTCCTCGGAAAGTTTAGCCGGCACATGTACTGAAAATACACACCTCTTCTGATAAGTATTTGACAACTAAAGACACTTCTTCACTTTTATTGTCTGGAATAGTTCAATATTACATAAATGACTATTATTAATTTTATAAAATTGCTTGATAAATCAGTAACTTGCCCACACGTGGCTTTCTGGAGTTTCCCCACAGATTGCTTACAGAAAGAAACCCATTTGTTTCCCAGTGCACCCACTGAGAAATCGCTACTCCCTACTCCAGCTCCGAATTACTGCAATGTTTTCTACAGG